AGTGGTTGGTGGGCCTTTTGGACAGTAGACAAATGTCTTAACCACTGCACCACAAGAGCTCCTTTATATCTATATACATCTATATATCTATATGTGTTTGTTGTTGTTATTTACTATCAAGTCGGACCCAACTCACAGTGATCTCTCCTTGGGTTTCTGTGGCAGTACCACTATGGAAGTAGATTGCACAAGCTTCCCTCTGAGGAGTAGCTTGTGGGTTTGAACTGCCAGCCTTCTGGTTAGCAGTCAGGTGCCTTAGGCACTAGGCTACCAGAGCTCATAGACATCTCTCTCTCTCTCGCTGTAGGGGTGTGTGTGTGTGTGTGTGTGTGTGTGTATATATATATATATATACACATACATACACATATGGAATGTATCTATATGTTGTTGTTGTTATTGTTATGTGCTGTCGAGTCGGACCCAACTCATAGCAAACCCTCCTTGGTTTTCCCAGGCAGTATCACTATGGAAGTAGGATTGCCCAACCTTCCTTCCAAGGAGTGGCTGGTGGGTTTGAACCGCCAGCCTTCTGGTTAGCAGTCAAGTGTCTTAGGCACTACACTACCAGAGCTCCTACGTATCTATATAGGAATATCTATCTATCTATCTATCTATCTATCTATCTATCTATCTATCTGCATTGTTATTGTCGTTAGGTGTTCTGTTGGTTTCTTATAGCTACTACATGTACAACAGAACAAAACCCTTCTTGGTTCTGAACCATCCTCAAAAATTGTTGCTATACTTGAGCTCTTTACTACAGTCATTGTGTCAACCTATCTAATTGAGGGTCTGCTCCTTTTTCACTGACCCTTTATATACTTTACCAAGTAAAAAATATATGCTTTACCAAGCATGACATCTTTCTTCTGGGAATTTTTTGTTTTCCCCTGACAACATGACCAAAGATATGAGAGACAAAATGTGCCCATTCCCGTTTGTCACAAATATTCTGGATGCATTTCCTACAAGACAGGTTTGTTTGTTCTAACAGCCCATGGTACATTCAACATTCTTAGTTAACCCCATAACTCAAAGCTATCAATTCTTCTGCAGTCTTCTTTATTCATTGCCCACCTCTCCCATGTATATGAGGCTATTAAAACTATTCAAATTACTCTGGCTTGGTCAGGCACACCTTTGTTTTCAAAGTGGCATCTTTGCTCTTTAACAATTTAAAGTGATCTTTTATAGGAGATTTACTAATTGCTATATATCAGGATTGGAAGAAGATATGTTAACAACTTGTGACCTGCAAATAGCATGTTGTAAATAAACAGGATTTGAAACACTTACTAAAGAACTTTAAATAGAGCCTTCAAAATGAGTTACATGTCAAAATAAACAACACAAAAATCCTCATAACTAGACTAGTAAGCAACAACAGGATAAGCAGAGAAAAGAGTGCAGTTTTCAAGGATTTCATTTTACTTGGATCCACAACTGGTGTCCATGGAAGCAGCAAACACGAAATCAAACAATGTATTGCCTTGGGCACATCTGTTGCACAACACAACTTGAAAGTGTTAAAGAGAAATGATGTCACTTTGGAAACTAAAGTGTTTCCTACCCAAGCCATAGTATTTTCACTTGTGTTGTATGCATACAAAAGCTTGACAGTGAATAATGAAGTTGGAGGAAGAGTTGATGTCTTTGAATTACAGTGTTGGTGAAGAATAATATTGAATATACAGTGAACTGCCAGAAGAATGAATAGATTGGTCTTGGAAAATGTACAGCCAGAATGTTCCTTCAAAACAAGGATGTTGAGACTTCATCTCACATACTTTTTACATGTTATCAGAAGGGACCAGTCCTTGGAGAAGGATCTCGTACTTGTTAAAGAAGAGAGTCAGCAAAAATGAAGAAGAATTTTAAGGAGATGGATTGACAATGTGGTCGCTGCAATGGTCTCAAACATAGTAGTGATGGTGAGGATGGTGTAGGCATGGGCAATGTTTTGTTCTGTTGTACATTGGGTCTCTAAGATTCAGAACTAAATGGCACCTAACAACCTTTGAATAATAACAGTCCCTGGGTGGTGCAAATGTTTAACATTTGGTTAAGCCTTGGCTCCTAACTGAGAGTCCATCCAGAGGTTGAGAAGAAAGGCTTATTGTTTTACTTTTGGAAAATCAGCCTCTGAAAACCCTATACAGCATATTTATGCTATAACACACATGAGGTCACCACGAGTAAGGATTGACTCAATGACAACTGGCCTAATTTAAAAATACATTTAAACTTGTGAGAGCTAGATCTCAACTCAGATCTCAGAAGTTTTCTGTCTTTGACAGGGTTCATTCTTACCACTTTTCTATGCGTATGTGGTGTGTGTACACATAAATGTATATTATTATGTATAGTATATAATTGTACAATTGAATAAAAAAGCAAATTCTTAGGATCTTAAAAGCTTGCAGGTGGCTATCCAAGCTATAAACAACTATTCTCCATTGTCCTGGGGCAGCAGAAGAAAAATGTATATAAAAGTTTTGTTTATACTATTATAGTTTATTAAGTGTGCAATAGCATTATGAAAAGTTTGAAATATTGTGCATATTACCAAAATATGACAAAGACAGGAAGTGAGCTCATGCTCCAGGAAAATTGACACCAATGGACTTATTAAAAGTAGAGTTGCCACAAACTTTCTGTTTGTAAAAAGCAAAACATCTGCAGTGAAATAAAAGAATTAGGCTCTACAGGAACATGTCACATTAATTAAAGTTTTCCTACATTGCCTTATTTTTCATATATACTAGTGTGTGTTTGTTTTTTAAAAAAGACGGCATACGAGATGTCGAGCAG